TCCACTCTACAGTTGTCCCATGTTTTTGTTCCACTCTACAGTTGTCCCATGTTTTTGTTCCACTCTACAGTTGTCCCATGTTTTTGTTCCACTCTACAGTTGTCCAAGAAAGTAGCCATTGCTGAGAAGTAAAGTGGTTGTCTTAGACAGGTAGCGTGGGTGGTTGGGGGTGCTCTGGTGTGGTTTGCTCCTTCTTTCCTATATAAAATCTACCTTCTCTATCTCCCCTCTTTCTTTTTTCTGTTTGTTACTCTCTTGTAACACCTCTAGTCTTCGGCACTTATATGACCTTATTATGCCGTAAAGCTCTTATGAAAACTAAAAAGACAGGTGTCCGTTCGCACTGAGTGAGCTGTATTTTCTGTCTGTAGATGGGAACAGGCTTGTGTAATTCTAATCAGGATTTTAAAAATCACTTCCTTTCAGAGATCGGAGAAGCTGAGAGCTCTTTCCTTGTCCACAGAGACGTGTTTGTTTCCTTTTACTTTCTTTGTTGAGAAAATTCAAACCTCGAGTTTGCCCGTCTCAGAGAACTACAGTGGAGGTTTCTTACACCGGACGCGCTGAATCTAAGAACGCTGAATCTAAGAACGCTGAATCTAAGAACGCTGAATCTAAGAACGCTGAATCTAAGAACGCTGAATCTAAGAACGCTGAATAGGAAAACGGAACACAGAAAAAAAAGAACATCCCCCGTATTTTTTCTTCTATTTGAGCAGCCTCTCTGAGTCTGAGCCCAAAACCTGGGGAAACTTTAGAGAATGCTGTGGGCCCCCACTGATTTCGGGTGAAGCCGACTCCACTGTGTAAATGTTGTGTGTTGTGCATGTGGCATGTAGCGTGTTGTGTGTTGTGAAGGTGTGTTGTTTGTTGTAAAGGTGTGTTGTGTGTTGTAAAGGTGTGTTGTGTGTTGTGAAAGTGTGTTGTGTGTTGTGAAGGTGTGTTGTAAAGGTGTGTTGTGAAGGTGTGTTGTGTGTTGTAAAGGTGTGTTGTTTGTTGTGAAGGTGTGTAGTGTGCTGGCTGTTTACTCACAATCAAGTTACTTTCATTTTGTGATGTGCATTACCTGTTTGCAAATTCATTCATTCGATGTTGTGTGGTTGTGAGTACTGATTGAGTGTGTGTGTGGGTGTGTGTGTGCATGTGTGTGTGTTGG